CCAGGCCCAGAGTTCAAGCCCATGACTGACAAAAAAAAAAATCTCAGTGGAATGCAGAGGAGTGACAGAAGATTCACAAAACAAAAATTGGGACTAGGGATGGGAATGTGGCTTAGCAGTAGAGTTCTTTTTTTTTTTTTTTTGGGTCCAGTTGTGGGGCCTGAACTCTGGGCCTGGGTGCTGTCCCTCAGCTCTTCAGCTCAGGGTTAGCACTCTACCACTTGGGCCACAGTGCCACTTCCAGCTTTTTTGTTTTTGCTTATGTGGTGCTGAGGAATCGAACCCAGGGCCTCATGCATGCAAGGCAAGTGCTCTACCGCTGAGCCACTTTCCCAGCCCAGCAGTAGAGTTCTTGGCTAGCATTCATGAAGCCCTGAGTTAGATTCCTCAGCACCATATAAACAGAAAAATCCACATACACAGAAAAAGCCAGAAGTGGCGCTGTGGCTCAAGTGGCAGAGCGCTAGCCTTGAATAAAAGAAGCTCTAGCGCGCTACCATTTGAGCCACAGCGCCACCTCTGGCTTAAATAAAAGAAAAAAAGAAAAAAAAGAAAAAATAAATAAACAAAAATCCAGAAGAGGTGCTGTGGTTCAAGTGGTAGAGTGCTAGCCTTGAGCACAAAAGTTCAGGAACAGTGCCCAGGCCCTGAGTTCAAGCTCCACAACCAACAAATCAAAACAAAAAGTAACAAGAGGCACAAACCTGGTGTGGTTATTTATACCTGTAATTATTCACACCAGTATTTGGGAGGCAAAATGAGAAAGATCAAAGTTAGAGGCTAGTGTGGGCAAAAAGTCAGCAAGATTCCTTCCCAGCCAATAAGCTGAGCAAAAGGTGCCTGTGGGAGGCATAGGTACGAATGCTCTGAGCCTGGATGCCTATGGGGCTACATCTGAAAAATAAGGTAAAAAAGGGCTGGGCATGGCTCAAATGGTAGTGTCTTCCTAGTGCAAGGCCTTGAGTTCTAATCCCAGTACCTTAAAAAAAATCCCCAAGCTGGGCGCCAGTGGCTCATGCCTGTAATCCTAGCTGTTCAGGAGGCTGAGATCTGAGGATCTCGGTTTGAAGCCAGCCAGGCAGGAAAGTCCGTGAGACTGTTATCGCCAATAAACTACTAGAAAACCTGAAGTGGTGCTGTGGCTCAGCGGTAGAGCGCTGGCCTTGAGCTGAAGAGTGTAGGGATAGCGCCCAAGCCCAGAGTTCAGGCCCCATGACCAACCCCTGCCCCCCCCCCCAAAAAAAATCCCCAAACCATAGCTGGGCAGAGACTGAAGGACTGAACTGGAGGCTAGCCTGGGCATAAAAGTTGGCACGATGCCCTCTAACCTAGGCTGGGCTCAATGATGCCTGTCATTTCAATGACAAAGGGAAGCACAAATATGAGATACAAAGTCTAGGCTGGCCAGGTCATAAAATCAAGACTTGGTTTTCAAAATAACTGTTGCAAAAAGGAGCTGATGGGGGCTGGGAAGGTGGCTTCATGGTGGAGCGCTTGCCTAGCATGCGTGAAGCCCTGGGTTTGATTCCTCAGCACCACAAAAATAGAAAAAGCTGGAAATGGCACTGTGGCTCAAGTGGTAGTGTGCTAGCCTTGAAGAAAAGAAGCTCAGGACAGTGCCTGGGCCCTGAGTTCAGGCCCCACCTCTACTGGGGCTCCTCTGAGTTGGAGCCCCAGGACAAGCACTGTCCCTGAGCTTCTTGGCTCAGTGCTAGCACTCTACCACTTGAACCACAGCTCCACTTCTAGCTTTTTCCATAGTTTAGTGGAGATAAGAGTCTTACACTTTTTTTCTGACTGAGCTGGCTTTGAACTGTAATCCTCAGATCTCAGCCTCCTGAGTAGCTAGGATTGTAGGTGAGAGTCACCAACATCTGTCTCTTGATCTGTAGGAGTAGTTATTCTGAATAGCTCCCCTTTCTCTTTCTGTGTATTACCACACCCAGCCCCTTTATGAATTTTCTTATCTTTGATGATCTCTTTCAGATGAATTTGGGATTAAGGTGTGTGTGTGTGTGTGTGTGTGTTTTATCAGTGGCCAACTGGGGCTTGAAATCTGGGGCTTGCACTCCAGTCCTTGTGCCCACAGCTAGAGATTTAACACCTTAGCCACACCTCCAGTACAGCATCATGTAGTTCACTAGAGACCCAGCTGGCTTCTATACTGTGATTCTCCAGGTTTCATACTGAGTAGCTAGGATTGCAGATGTGAGCTGCTGAAGCACATGCAGTTCAAGTGCATGAACTTCTAAAAAAAATATCCTGGGGCTGAGAAGGTGGCTCAGTGGTAGAGCCCTTGCCTTACATGCATGAGGCCCTGGGTTCGATTTCTCAGTACCACATAAGCAAAAAGAAAAAAGCTGGAAGTGGCGCTGTGGCTCAAGTGGTAGAGAGCTAGCCTTGAGCTGAAGAGCTGAGGGACAGCGCCCAGGCCCAGAGTTCAGGCCCCACGACCAGACCTTCCAAAAAAAAAATCCTGTTGGTATTTGTGTTGGCATTACTTCCAATTTACAAACTGACGGGTGAACATTTACATATGTGCAGTACAGGAGACTGGGTGTTTCTCTGCTTTATTAGAACTCTTGTCACGTTCCGCAGTAAGGATGGAATTTAGTCTTAGCCACTCGGGAGGCCGAGAACAAAGGAAAGGGGTTCAGAGCCGGCTAGGGCAATAAAGTCCATGAGACTCATTTCCACTAAACACCTCCCCCCAAAACGTGGAGGTGTGGTTCAAATGGTAGAGCACTAGCCTTGAGCAAAAGAAGGTCGGGTAAGGCACAGGTCCAGGCCCTAAGTTCAAGCCCCAGGACTGGTGGCACGGCCCAGAGGGAAAAGAATGCCAGCGGCTGGTGGTGGGCCATGTGCGGGCACCGAGGTCTGCGTTCAAACCCCGCCACGGGCAAACACGAGAACATGATCCTGAGCTGGCTGCCGGGGGCTGGTGCCTGGAACCCTGCTGCTTAGGAGGCCTTGCGCCGGTCTGAGCCCCCGAGCCTAGCTGTCCTTCAAAGGCGGCCCAAGCCGGGGATTCCGGGATGCTCGCTTCCCGTTAACTCCCGAGGGCCGACAGCGACTGGCGTCTCGAGTGGGAGCGCGCGAACGTCGAGCCCAGACGCTCGGGGACGGCGCCAGGCCCAAGGTTCGAATCCCGGGACGGCGCCAGGCCCAAGGTTCGAATCCCGGGACGGCGCCAGGCCCAAGGTTCGAATCCCGGACCAGCGCGCGCACCCGCGCGCACACGGACGCACACGCGTGCACGCACGAGACTGCCCCCCCAAAAGCTCTTAAACTTTAGGACATTTTGGCTGCAATGGGGCCAACCGAGGGCCTCCAGTTCGGCCAGGAGTCACGCATGTGAGGGGCGCGCTTCCTCAGGGACGCGCGGGCAGGGGCGCGCTTCCTCAGGGACGCGCGGGCAGGGGCGCGCAGGCGAGGGACGCGCTTCCTCGGGGACGCGCGGGCAGGGGCGCGCAGGCGAGGGGCGCGCTTCCTCAGGTAGGAGCGGGCAGGGGCGCGCAGGCGAGGGGCGCGCTTCCTCGGGGACGCGCGGGCAGGGGCGCGCAGGCGAGGGGCGCGCTTCCTCAGGGACGCGCGGGCAGGGGCGCGCAGGCGAGGGGCGCGCTTCCTCGGGGAACAGGCAGGGGCGCGCAGGCGAGGGGCGCGCTTCCTCGGGAGGAGCGGGCAGGGGCGCGCAGGCGAGGGGCGCGCTTCCTCGGGAGGAGCGGGCAGGGGCGCGCAGGCGAGGGGCGCGCTTCCTCGGGGAGGAGCGGGCAGGGGCGCGCAGGCGAGGGGCGCGCTTCCTCGGGAGGAGCGGGCAGGGGCGCGCAGGCGAGGGGCGCGCTTCCTCGGGAGGAGCGGGCAGGGGCGCGCAGGCGAGGGGCGCGCTTCCTCGGGAGGAGCGGGCAGGGGCGCGCAGGCGAGGGGCGCGCTTCCTCGGGGAGGAGCGGGCAGGGGCGCGCAGGCGAGGGACGCGCTTCCTCGGGGAACAGGCAGGGGCGCGCAGGCGAGGGGCGCGCTTCCTCAGGGACGCGCGGGCAGGGGCGCGCAGGTGAGTCGGGCGAGGCAAATCCAGTCTCGCGAGCTCCACGGCCGCAGCCACCCAGACTGTCAGGAAGTGGGGAGTGCGCTGGGGAGCAGATCGCCGAGGCCGGCGGATGCGGGGCTGGAGACCAGCCAGTTTGCCTGGATTTCCACCCGGGGCCAGACCCAGCCGTGCCCCACCGTTAGTCCCTCCCACAGCCCCCCCCCCCCCGCTGGTGTTCGTGCTCCCCTCCAGGCCACGCCCACCACTGCCGCCCTCCAAAGTCTCGCCCACGACTCCCGGTCCCGTCCCAGGCTCCTCCCACAGCCCTGTCACTACTGGACCGCGCTTACCGTCGCTGGTCCCGCCTCCAGGCCACGCCCACCACTTCCGCCCTCCTACGTCCCGCTCTGAACTCGGGGTCCTGTCCCAGGCCCCTCCCACAGCCTTGACATTATACTGGACTCCGCTTACCGCCGCAGGTGCTGCCCAACGCCGCGCCCACTACTTCCGCCCGCCTAGGCCACACCCATAGCTTCCGGTTCTGCCTCAGGCCCCTCCCACAGACCTGACGCCATCCTGGGCTGCGCTCACCGCCGCTGTCCCGCCCTAGGCCCCGCCCACCATCCTGCTCCGGTCCGGTACCGGGCTCTCTGCCCCGCCCCTTATGCCCCGCCCCCTCCGCTGGTGAGCCGCGGGGGCTGGGGGGGCAGCTGCTCCCGGGCGGGTTGGGGGGGGGGTCTGGCGTCCGGCGCGGCAGACGCCGGTTCGAGTCCTCGCGTCCTCCGCGGCCCCAGTGGTTTTCCTTATCCCTCAGGGGCAGCGGTTGCGGGCGGCGCGGCCTGGGCGCGCGCGGCGAATCTGCCGCTGCGGAACGGCAGGCGCGGAGCGGGAGGCCTCGCGAGAGTGCGGCGCGGCCGGACGCGGCCCGGCGGACCTGGCGCGCTGAGGGCCGCGGGCCGAGCGCGGGGCAGCCGGGCGGGCCGGGCGCGCCCCGCGGCCGCACCATGACGGGCCGCGTGTGCCGCGGCTGCGGCGGCACCGACATCGAGCTGGACGCGGCGCGCGGCGACGCCGTGTGCACCGGGTGCGGCTCGGTGCTCGAGGACAACATCATCGTGTCGGAGGTGCAGTTCGTGGAGAACAGCGGCGGCGGCTCGTCGGCCGTGGGCCAGTTCGTGTCTCTGGACGGTGCGTCCCGCGGCGCGGGGGCCGGGGCCGGCGGGGAGCCGCGGCACAGCGCGCGCAGCCGGGCCGGGGGCGCGCCGCGCGACGACGCAGCCCGCCCCCCGCGAGGGGCCGGCGTCCCGGGGACCGGCGTCGGGCAGGCTCGCTCCGGGGCCGCCGCCGCGGCCTTCCTCCGGGCACTCGGACCGCTGCGTGGCTCTGTCCGGGGACCCACGGCCCCGCGGGGCTCCGCTCGCCGGCACCGGAGGTGGCGCGTCGGGGCGCCGTCCGCTCGTGGCGGCTCCCCCGCGTCTGGCTTCGCGGTCGAGCCCCGCGCGGCCCCCGCGCCTGTCTCCCGCTTTACGTTCCTCTGCCTTTGTTTCCCCGCGGGGTGCGGGGGTCCACCCGGGGCTCAGGCGCTGTGATGCTTTGTCTTCCTTGAAATGTGCGTCCCGTTTCCAGGTAAACTCGTCTGTCCGGGCTCCGAGCCTCGAACCCAGGCCGGGCCCCACCACCGGCCGCGGCGCGCGCGAGGGCCGCCAGGGCCACAGGAGCGGCGGCCGCCGGCGGCTTCTCGGCTTCGCTCTGGCCCGAGCTTTTTGCCCTGGTGTGCTGCCCTCCTGGAGCCTCGCTGCAGTGGAGTTTTTCTCTCGCGTGGGGACAGCCTGCTGTCTGCAGCCTTTGCTTTGACCGGGGTCCTAGGCCACACCTGTCTGGGGCTGCTGCTGAGACTTTCACGGTCACCACTGTATTTCCCTGTTTACATTTATGTTGCCCTTTTATTTTTGGTGTTGGTTCTGAGGCTTGAACTCAGGAGGCCTGGGTGCTGTTCCTTAGATTTTCCCCTCGAGGCTAGTCACTCTAAGGCTTGGGCCACACCTCCACTTCTGGCTTTTTGAAGAGCCTCACAGACTTTTCCTGTCCAGGCTGCCTTCAAATTGTGATCTCAGCCTTATATCTCACCTTCCTGGGTAGCTGGGATTACATACAGTGTGAGCTACTTGTGCCTGGCTTTATGTTGTTTTGAATTCAGATAGTATGAGCCCTTCAACTTTATTCTTCCCTATCAAAGTAGTAGTTTTCCCCTTTACTTTTAGAGTTAAGTTCGTGTTTTCTTTTTTTTAGTCCTTGGGATGGAACCCTGGGCCTTCACATGCTAGGCAAGTGCTTTGCAACTGACTGCATCTCCAGCCCGTTTCCATTGATTTATATGTGATAGCATGCCACCGGTAAACTTGCTAGATCTACTTGCTAGTCCTAGGAATTTCTTATGGACTGCCTGGGGTTTATTTACATAGAAATCTGTGTCTATAGAGACTTTTTTGCCCCCCTTTGTCTCTTTTGCCCCAAATGGGACTTTTTTTGGGGGAGGGGGGGGAATTCGGTCGTGGGGCCTGAACTCTGGGCCTGGGCGCTGTCCCTCAGCTCTTCAGCTCAAGGCTACCGCTCTACCACTTGAGCCACAGCGCCACTTCCAGCTTTTTCCTTTTTGCTCATGTGGTGCTGAGGAACTGAACCCAGGGCCTCATGCATGTAAGGCAAGCGCTCTACCACTGAGCCACCTTCCCACCCCTTTGTTCTGAATCTTAGAAGCATTCAATCTCTTTTAGTCAGTGGGATGTTGGAAATAGGTTCTTGGAGCCTGCATTTATTTCATCCGTAAACTTGAGGAAGTTCCTTTTGCTGAGGTTTCCCACCCCCCTACTGGGGTTTGAACTTGTCCTTGTGATTGCTAGACAGATGGACTCCCCTTTTAACACGCTTCCCCCCCACCCTTTTTTTTTTTGGTTGTGGGGCTTGAACTCTGGGCGTGGGCACTGTCCCTCAGCTCTTCAGCTCAAGGTGAGCACTCTACCTCTTGAACCACAGCACCACTTCCAGTTTTCTGGTGGTTAATTGGAGATAAGAGTCTCACAGGCTTCCTTGTCTGAGCTAGCTTTGAACCACGATTCTCAGATCTCAGCTTCTGAGCAGCTGGAATTTCAGGTGTGAGCAACCAGTGTCCAGGGGAACACACTCCTTTTTGTTGATGTTTTTTGTTTTAGTCTTTTTTCAGGAGGGTAGAGTTTTTGCCTAGGGTTGGACTCAGACTGTGAGCTTTGGATCCACTCCTCCCTCATAGCTGGGATCATAGGCACACCATGCCTGGCTTATTGACTGGGATGGGGAAAGGGCCTCACTTTTTGGCTGTACTGGCATGGAACTGTGATTCTCCCAAATAGCTGGAATTACAGGAATAAACTACTGCATTCAGCCTTGCTGAGGCTTTTTTTTTCTTCTTTTCTAAAATTATCTTTAAGTACAAAGGGGTTTCAATTTACCATGGCAGCTTCTTATAAGTACAATGCATCTTAATCAATGTCACTTTTTTTTTTTTTTGGTCCAGTCGTGGGGCCTGAACTCTGGGCTTGGGCGCTGTCCCTCAGCTCTTCAGCTCAAGGCTAGCACTATACCACTTGAGCCACAGCGCCACTTCTGGCTTTTTTCTTTTTGCTTCTTTTTGTGGTGTGCTGAGGAATCGAACCCAGGGCCTCATGCATGTAAGGCAAGTGCTCTATCACTGGGCCACCTTCCCAAGCCCCTCAATGTCACTTTTTAAATTATTCTCCCCCATCTGTCTCAACTCCATCCAGCTCAAGTAATACATATACATTGAATATTAACACTGTTCACCTACTCTCCTCTCTTCATTCATCTGACCCCTTTTCCCCTTCACACGCTCCCTGTACCCTCTAAAAGCATGTTTTAGATTCCTGGTATTTGTTTGTTAATTGTAAGTTAATTGTACACTCTTGGAATCCTCTCCTGTGTATACCATACTTTAGTCTATATCTATCTATCTATCTAGATATATATATATATGTGTGTGTGTGCCATATGCATATGTATGCTATAGTGTGTGTGCGTGTGTGTGTGCATGTGCATGTGCGCTCGTGCCATTCCTGGGGACCTTCCCAGCCCTCTCACTCTTTTTTTTTTTTAATTCTTTTTTTTATTGTGAAAATACTGTACAGAGGGGTTACAATTACATAGGCAAGATAATGAGTACATTTCTTTTTTTTTTTTTTTTTTGGTCGGCTGTGGGGCTTGAACTCTGGGCCTGGGCGCTGTCCCTCAGCTCTTCAGCTCAAGGCGAGCGCTCTACCACTTGAGCTACAGCGCCACTTCTGGTTTTCTGGTGGTTTATTGGAGATCGGAGTCTCACGGTCTCTCCTGCCCGGGCTGGCTTTGAACCGCGATCCTCAGATCTCAGCCTCACGAGTAGCTAGGATTACAGGCGTGAGCCACCAGCGCCTGGCTATGAGTACATTTCTTATCAAGCATTGTAGCCTCCTCCTTTGTTTCCCCTCCCCGCCCCCCCAGCCCTCCTCCCCCCCTCACTCTTTTTTATACCCTCACATTTTACTGCTTGAGCTACACCTCCACTTCTGACTTTTTGCTCATTAATTGGAGATTAGAATGGATTTGTCTGCTTGGGTTGGCTTTCAGTCTTAATCCTCAGATGTTAACCTCCTAAGTAGCTAGGATTATAGGGGTGAGCCACTTATGCCCAGTCGAAGGTTTTTTTTTTTTTTTTTTGGTTGTTGTTGGTCATGGGGCTTGAACTCTAAATCTGGGCACTGTCCCTGAGCTCTTCAGCTCAAGGCTAGCGCTTTACCACTTGAGCCACAGAACCACTTCTGGTTTTCTGGTGGCTTATTGGAGATAAGAGTCTCATGGACTCTCTGACCGGGCTGGCTCTGAACCATGATCCTCAGATCTCAGCCTCCTGAGTAGCTAGGATTATAGGAGTGACCACCAGCGTCCAGCTCCAAGGGATTTTGTTTTTGTTTTTGTTTTGTTTTATATTAAGGTTTGGGAAGATTTTTCAAAAAAAAAATATTTTTTGCCTGTCCTGGGGCTTGAACTCAGGGCCTGGTCACTGCCCCTGAGCTTTGCACAAGGTTAGTATTCTTACCACTTGAGCCACAGGCCACTTCAGGCCTTTTCTGTTTATGTGGTACTGAGAAATCCAACCCAGGGCTTCACGCATGCTAGGCAAGCTCTCTACCATGAGCCCACATTCCCAGCCCCCAAAAGATATTTTTATTGTTATTATTAAGGTGTTGTATAAGTCAGCTAATGAGTACAACTCTTTTTCGGTCAGTCTTAGGACTTAAACTCTGGGCCTGGGCTGTTCCTAAGCTCTCTTTGCTAAAGGCTAGTACTCTATCACTTTGAGCCACAGCTCCACTTCTGGTTTTCTGGTGGTTTATTGGAGATAAGAGTCTCCTGGACATTTCTTCCCAGACTGGCTTTGAACCATAATCCTCAGATCTCAGCCTCCTGAGTAGCTAGGATTACATGTGTGAGCCATCTGAATACAACTTTTTTTGGACAGAGTCACCCCTTCCTTCATGTTTCCCCAGTTTCCACCTGTGGTCTCTGCCCACAAGTTTCATAGTTCATTTTCCATGTACTGCACATGAATACCATAACCACATTTGTTTACCCTTCCTCCATTTCTGTGTCCCCCCTCCCCTGCCTAAAAAGACAAACAAAAACAGCAACAAAAATACTTATATCTTCATTTCCTTGAATTTGTTTCAATAATAGTATTTTAAGTATTCAGAGGACTTACACCTTTGGATTCCTCCCTTAAAGTATCCTCCTTCGGTCTGACTTTGTGAATGCTAGAGTCCTGTATAGGTTATCATGTCCGGTTGTATTTTAGATCCAGCTTCTTCATAGGAGATAAAACATGTGCCATTTGTCTCTGGGCTTGGCTTTCCTCGCTTAGCATGACTTGTTCTAGGTCCATCCTTTTTCCTGTAATGACATCATGTTGTTCTTATGGATGAGTAAAATTCCATCATGTGTAGGAACCACTTTTGTTTTAATCCACTCAACTGTTGTAGGGCATTTAGGCTATTGTGAATATTGCAGCAATGAACATGGATATGCAAGCCTCTTCACTGTATCTTGACTTATGATGTTCTGGGTACATGTCTAAGAGTGGCTGGGTCATGGGAAAGTTCTCTTTT